ATCCATCATGCCTTGTTACCACTGTGCAGGCTGGTGGTGGTGGTGTAATGGTGTGGGGATGTTTTCTTGGCACACTTTAGGCCCCTTAGTGCCAATTGGGCATCGTTTAAATGCCACAGCCTACCTGAGCATTGTTTCTGACCATGTCCATCCCTTTATGGCCACCATGTACCCATCCTCTGATGTCTACTTCCAGCAGGATAATGCACCATGTCACAAAGCTCGAATCATTTCAAATTGGTTTCTTGAACATGACAATGAGTTCATTGTACTAAAATGGCCCCCACAGTCACCAGATCTCAACCCAATAGAGCATCTTTGGGATGTGGTGGAACGGGAGCTTCATGCCCTGGATGTGCATCCCACAAATCTCCATCAACTGCAAGATGCTATCCTATTAATATAAGCCAACATTTCTAAAGAATGCTTTCAGCACCTTGTTGAATCAATGCCACGTAGAAGTAAGGCAGTTCTGAAGGCGAAAGGGGGTCAAACACAGTATTAGTATGGTGTTCCTAATAATCCTTTAGGTGAGTGTATTTGTAATATTTGATAATAAACCCAGTTTCACAGACAAGGCTTAGAGTAAGCCAGGTTTAGCCCTTAATTCAAATAGGCAATTTAAGTAGCTTTTATAAATGGGCATTATAAAGAAAAAAACAAAAACATTACTGGTGTGCATCTTGAGACAAAATATTGACAGTGACATATTTTAAGATACGTCAGTGCAAGTTCCTTTGAGTTAAAACAGCTCAATAATGCATTTTAGTCTGGGACTAGGCTTAATCCTTATCTGTGAAACCGGCCAATTGGGTAATAACATGATCTTTTTCTTCTGAAACAATAGCAGATGTCACTTTGGCTATTGGATCATGTTAACTAATGGCGCTTTTCCACTACACAGTACCAGCTCGCCTTGGCTCGGCTCGACTCGACTCGACTCGCCTTTGTTTGGTTTTCCACTGTGTAAAAGTTGTACCTGTACCTGCTTTCGGGTACTTTATTTCGTACCACCTCCGGCGAGGTTCTAAGCGAGTTGAGGCGAGCTAAGCCGATACTAAAATGTGACGTGAAAACAATGCCGACTGCTGATTGGTCACAGAGAATCTGCGTCATCATTGAACGCGCCAGATGGAGTATCCAGAATAACCCCGCGATTTTTAAATAGTTTGGCCAGAGATAGTTACTAAACTTACTACTATTATTATGGCAACTCGGAAGAATACGCCGTGGTCAAACGAGGAGGTGCAGACATTCCTTTGTTTGGTTGCCGAAGAGAGGATCCAGCGAGAGCTTGATGGGGCAACGAGGAACGAAAGGCGTCGCTATGACGACCGGTACTATTTGTGGCGGTACTTTCTGCAATGGAAAACGGAGTGAAAAGCGAGCCGAGTCGAGGCGAGTCGAGCTGGTACTGGTAATGGAAAAGCGCCATAAGTGCAAACAATCTACTCAGGCACTGTTTCTACATTCATTCAGGCTTTTGCATTCAATCCAATCAATTCCTGATTGATACAATCTTTTTTCATCATCAAATATCCTGTTTTACTTGAAAATGTATAACATTGCAGAAGTAAAATGGGTTGCGTACAGCTATTTGTGTGAACTTTAAGTGTGAGTTTGTTGAATTTTCCAGAGTAAAACCACCATGTGCCACATGCTAGCTGGAAAGATTACCCTGCCACATATCTGAAATACTTTGGAATTCAAGGAGATTGATTTTTTCCAGTGAAAATTCAATTAAGAGACAGATTTGTTAAGAAAACACAGCACAGTTTTATCAACCTTTTTCTATATTTGTTTTATATTGTGATCTCAGTTTATAGCTAATTTGATTTTGGCTAATAGAGCCCTTCCTGTCTTTAGCCAAGAGGAACTGGTGTTTTTCCTTAGGTTAAGTCGATCCGAAGCATCTGTGGACAATAGAAGTGAAGTTAAAAGATGACAGACTTTCAGTAGCACACAGGAACCAAAGCCAAATGATTTATTAATGGTTTATAGTAGTTCTTGGCACCAATACTGTTTGAGAAATCCGAGTTGGAGATGTTTTAGGCAAAGAAAATTAAAAATAGCGTTTTGTGTGCTCATGCCTGCCGTCCAACTTTCCCTCTCATGGCTCCCATAAAAAAGATTTTTCTTTACTAACCTCGATGCTTTCAACAGAAAAGAGAGACAGCTTCACTATTACAACCCGATTTATGTAGAACAAAAGAACGATATTAAACTGATTCCAAAGGATGACTGTGAATATAAGTATATTATGTCCATGAATGTTTAATGGATGGATCTCAATTTGTTTGAGGTGTCCTCCCTCCAAATATGATCTTTCCTGTCATTCATTTTGCATTGACAGCAACTTTAAATAGCTTGTGAATGTCTGTGTAGTTTATCTGCGAAGAATATCTCACAAAAGTTGAATTCTAGTTGGTTGCTTTGTCAATATGTTTCAGTCTTTCATTTCTTCCAGTTAGTTACTAAAACTTAACTCAAAAATGAAAATTCTGTCATCATTTAATCACCCTCATGTTGTTCCAAACCCATATTTCTTTCCTCCATATTTCACAAAAGGAGATATTTTAAAGAATGTGCTGGTCGTTTTCAAGCTTCATAAAGAACCATTAAAGTGTGATCTAAAGTGAAGTCTTATGAAGCTTTTTCTGAAGAACAGATCAAAATTTACTTCACCAGCCTTGCTATAAGTCTATAAACGACTGAGACAATAACAAGGTTAAATAGAGATGTTATATTTGACTTTTTCTTCAGGCTGATATTCCCTGATATAACCAATTCTTAACCAAGTAATTTATTATAGGCTATACGAAAATTATTATATAAAGTGGCTTCTTCTATTGCAAGTTTTTCTCAATGATAAAGTATTTTGAGGCAGTTTATCGGGAAGTGACGGACGGTTTTGTTCTCTTCACCTCGCTGGATGGAAAAATGCTAAATTTGCGCAACTTTAGATGGAAACATACCTAGAGTGACATCTTTGTTTTCATGTTGGGTGAACTGTTCCTTTAAAGTGCCCCTATCGTGCTATTTTTCAGGTTCCTAATTTTGTTTCGGAGATCTCCTAGAATAGGTTTACATGCATACAAGGTCAAAAACACAAATTTTCTCATAATATACATTGCACATCACCTCATTTCTCAAAGAGTCTGAAAAGTTGGGGTCTGAGATGGCCCAGTCTGTTCTGATTGGTCTACTCTGCTCTGATTGGTCAGATGGCCCAGTCTGTTGTGATTGGTCTACTCTGCTCTAATTGGTCAGATGGCCCAGTCTGTTGTGATTGGTCTACTCTGCAATGATTGGTCAGACAGCCCAGTCTGTTGTGATTGGTCTACTCTGCTCTGATTGGTCAGAAGGCCCAGTCTGTTGTGATTGGTCTACTCTGCTCTGATTGGTCAGATGGCCCAGTCTGTTGTGATTGGTCTACTCTGCTCTGATTGGTCAGACAGGCCAGTCTGTTGTGACTGGTCTACTCTGCTCTGATTGGTCAGACAGGCCAGTCTGTTGTGACTGGTCTACTCTGCTCTGATTGGCCAGATGGCCCAGTCTGTTTTGATTGGTCTACTCTGCTCTGATTGGTCAGACAGGCCAGTCTGTTGTGATTGGTCTACTCTGCTCTGATTGGTCAGACAGCCCAGTCTGTTGTGATTGGTCTACTCTGCTCTGATTGGTCAGATGGCCCAGTCTGTTGTGATTGGTCTACTCTGCTCTGATTGGTCAGACAGCCCAGTCTGTTGTGATTGGTCTACTCTGCTCTGATTGGTCAGATGGCCCAGTCTGTTGTGATTGGTCTACTCTGCTCTGATTGGTCAGACAGGCCAGTCTGTTGTGATTGGTCTACTCTGCACTGATTGGTCAGATGGCCCAGTCTGTTGTGATTGGTCTACTCTGCTCTGATTGGTCAGACAGGCCAGTCTGTTGTGATTGGTCTACTCTGCACTGATTGGTCAGATGGCCCAGTCTGTTACGATTGGTCTACTCTGCACTGATTGGTCAGACAGCCCAGTCTGCTGTGATTGGTCTACTCTGCTCTGATTGGTCAGACAGGCCAGTCTGCTGTGATTGGTCTACTCTGCTCTGATTGGTCAGACAGGCCAGTCTGCTGTGATTGGTCTACTCTGCTCTGACTGGTCAGACAGGCCAGTCTGCTGTGATTGGTCTACTCTGCTCTGATTGGTCTACTCTGCTCTGATTGGTCAGACAGCCCAGTCTGTTGTGATTGGTCTACTCTGCACTGATTGATCAGACAGGCCAGTCTGTTGTGATTGGTCTACTCTGCTCTGATTGGTCAGATTGCCCAGTCTGTTGTGATTGGTCTACTCTGCTCTGATTGGTGAGATGGCCCAGTCTGTTGTGGTTGGTTTACAGTGTGCGTCGGAAAACGACGGGAAACGTAAGAATAGAATTACTAATGACTCATTTTCAGTTCAGAATCGATTCTATCTTTTAGGAGACAATACCTTTATTTGCAGTGCACTCTGCTCTTTAAAACTTTGCAGACCTTTTACATTCACAAACAGCTATATTACACGCTGCATGAAAGGTAATATTCAAGAAAGCATAATAGGGGCACTTTATCGCAACTTCAGAATCATTTAAATAGTCATTAGCTAAAGGAAAGGGTGTAATAATTTTAAAATGCAAATCAGTTGCAGAGTGGTGGAACAACGTGTCTGTTTTTGACACAGAGCAGATATCCTTTTTCCATCTCGAGAGCGCAGGGGAAAGCATAATTGCATTTGTGTTGGCCTGAGCATGAATGTGGCTGTAGGCACAGACTGCAGAGCTCCACTTAAACCTCCCCGAGCTCGGCAAACACCCTCTTATTCACCCATGTACATTGTACAACCACACGTGAAAACACGTTTACACATCCATTCCGTCGATATGGGGAGAGAGGAGCTCAGGGACGTTTCATTAGCTGCAGAAATGATGTGCCAACTTTTAGCAAAGACCAGTTTATAACTCATTTCACCTAACTGTATTTTCAGTGACGTTGGACTGTGGCAAGCGCCAGAGCGACAGGTAAGAATGCTGTCGACTAATGAATCATAAGGTTTTTAGGTACTGCTAAAACTCCTCATTAACCATGTCCTCTCTATTTGGCAACAGCGGCGCTCGTAAAGGTGGCGGAGGAGGAAATAATGAGACTTACTGGAAAGAGCTCCACGCCGCCATGGCCCTGACCAACCTGGCCCAAGGGAAGGAGAGCGCCGCGCCGGGCACCACCAGCTGTATCATCCAGAAGTCTTCCCATATAGCGGAGATTAAGACTGTCAAAGTGCAACCCCAACATTAGTGGCTAACGGACTGGACAGCGGTCTGTACTAGGTCAAAATTGCTAAAAGACTACCTGAACACTTGACTATGTACTACATGCAATAATTTAGTTGAAAATGATCCACAGCAGCCTTTTCTGAGAGGAAAAATACATGTTGACCAGTGTGCCTATTTTTTTATGTGTTTTTTTTTTTACCACTGTCTGTTGAAAAATGACGCAGAGAGGAGAGTTTGATGTGTGGACGGTCACTACCACTAAACACAGAAGCACACAAATCTGACTCTTTTTGATTTATACTGTCATCATTTCTGAAATACAGTGGCTAAAATGTAATATATTCATCATATATGTATTCATTTTCCTAAGTTATGTTCATTTTTGATTCTAATTGACACAGGATTATTGTCATCCTATGGCAATGGCATATAAATGTGGATTCTTGTGTTTTGTTTTGGCAGGTGTGACATATAGAGGAAGTTTATTTCCTTTTTTTTAATGGATAGCTTTTAAATGCATTCATGTGTCATTGCCTGTGAAGTTTATCATGCAAAACAGAGTCAGTTGAGAGCAAATAAAAGTTTCTCAATAAAATACAGTTGCGCTTTGATAAAGTGTGCTCCTCTCATCTCTGTTTGTTTTGCCATAATTTTCACCTAATCCAGTGTGGAATATACAGGGTCAGAGCCACATTTTGAGCAAAGCAACTAACACTACCCATGCCGAAACAGTTACCATTGACATCTGCAAAGAGCTCTGCTGTTCTTTGACCATGTTGGATAAGCATTTGCATTTCAGTTATGTACCTGATAGCTCTTCTAGATAGGCTGTTTGAACAGTCCGTTATGTTTGAGTCTCGCTGTGTGCATTAAAACGGTTCAGCCAGCAGTGAGAATGTGGAATTGAATATACTGTCTGCCCTGTTATATCTCCTTACAGACCTGACCACATGCTCTGTGTTTTGCTCTGCAGTCTTATTTCTCCCCACCCATGCTTCAAGGAAGACTAAAACATAATAGTCCCCATTCTTCTGGCTTACCCTCATCTAATCATTCAGTGGTCAAATGCACCTGCTGAATCAACACAAAGAGCCCAATACAAATAGTAAAACACCTCTAACTGAAATGGAGAGGGAGCAGGAGACAGTGTAACATCGGTGGAAATCTGTTGATTTTGATGTAGTTTCAGTTCCAGGCATCATAGAGATGTTTATATAAAAGTTGAATTCAGTGCTTATGGAATCTGATTGTTTCTTTACCAGTGCGTTGAGTGAACTTTGGACAGATCCTACCATGCCATCAAAATCACAATTAGAAATTACTTACTGTACATCTACAAAATCATATTCTTTGTAAAATGGAGATTTGTCGATATTTGAAAAGCTTACAGATTGTGGTGTGGTGTTGAAGTTGCATTGAAGGCATTTTCTGAAATGTAATTTTTTATAAAAGTCCCCCTATAGTCAAAACTTTTATCCCTTAAAACTCATCTTTGATCACCAAAATGACATATTTAAACGGTTTTTTTTCTTTGGGGAAAAAGATATTCATGCCTTAAAATAGCTTCAATGTAAACACCAATTGCTTAATTTAAAGGTGCATTGTGTAATATTTAGGAGGATCCGTTGACAGAAATGCAATATCATATACATAAATATGTTTTCAGTGGTGTATAAAGACCTTACTTAATGAACCGTTGTGTTTTTATTACCTTATAATGAGCCATTTCTATATACATACACCGCGGGTCCGCTTACATTGAAATGCGCCGTCATGTTTCTACAGTAGCCCTAAACGGACAAACGCGTTTCGTCACTATGTTGTTCTTCGTGCAAGGAAGCTAGCTAAAGTCAGCGAATAAAACACTGACACAATGATGAACAAGTAACAATAATATTCGCAAGAACATATCGTTTTACTGAATAATAAAGTAAACATCATTTCTTAATTTATCTTTGTAAAGAAACCTCATTGCTTAACTGGCTACTCTCTGCTGTCTCCAGACGACGACGACTTTTCCTGTTGCCCACCGTAACTGTTGGTTGCAAATCGCAACCTCACCACTAGATGCTGCTATTGTGATTACTATGCTAATTAGCCCCGCCTCCACTCACACACACCAGCTCAGAGATTCACTCGGTCAACTTTACTGTAATAATAAAATAATAATTCATTACATTTATAACATTAGCAACACGTTAGCTGTTTAAAACTTGGTCAAGCAAAAGGCTAATCATTATGAATTACCGTTATGAGTTCGACGTTGTAAAGAACAATACCATTGTAGTACACTGTTGTAAACGCTGCACAATGGTATTGTTCTTTACAACGTCGAACTCATAACGGTAATTCATAATGATTAGCCTTTTGCTTGACCAAGTTTTCAAACAGCTAACGTGTTGCTAATGTTAGGACAAGTACCCATACCCAAAAATCCATACATTTGGAATTGCATAAATATATTTCTTGAGAGCCCAGGCCTTGACTAGGGGTGCATAAAGACAGATACTTTTTCTTTCTGACAAGCAGAGTCCTATGTAATCAGTTGAATGAAAGGAAAGATGACCATGATACTGATGAGTGACATGAACTGCCACACATCAGTGTGAAAACGTCTGACATTTGTTTTGATTAGCATGTTCATTGTATATTTCAGAGTTTGTGTATGTAGTGCACAGTATAGAAACATTTCATATATGGCCTGTTAAACTAATATGGAGCTGTAGGTATCAATTTCCTGCCTCTATGTGAGTGCCACAGACATACATGCTCATCTGGAGTTCATTTACTAGAAACTACGTAATAATGAGGATAGCATTTTGAACAGACATTCATACGGACTTCAAAAGACACTATACTGTGGCAAAACAAGGTATAAACACTTCTACAAGTTCTACAAAACAATTGTAAGACATAATTTCTCCTAATTTCCACTACATAACGCAAAGTGATATACAGACTAGGACAAATTTAAAACCCATGAATTAGAAGAGAGGGTGCTGGTTAGTGTTTGGTTTTGTGGCTACAGGAAGTCATAAGCAATTCTTACCGTGAATGAATAAATCTCTCTGCAGCAGAACAAACACCTCTATTAGAGGTGAAATAAAAGTCAAACATATTAAGCCTTTTGACCAAGGTATGTTTATAATTAAATTAATTGACCAATTTGACCATTTGCCTGGCTACAATAACACTCTCTCTACAGAATCATAGTGAAAGCCAGTAATGTAGTTCATGTTAAACATGCAGATCGAATAAATATTAAGGCATAAGCAATTCTTCCCCGTGTCGAGTCCATATGTGAATCAAATCAAGAACGAGTCGCGGGAAGGATTTGTGATTAAAAAACAAACACGAACAGTGTACTTTTTGGTATCCGTTCACATTAATCTAGAAAAGAAAGAAATGAGTCAGAGTAAAACACAGTGAAGTAAAACGGATCATCCCATGTGTTATTCGGACAAAAGTCATCATATATTACATTATTTAAACATGCTTATTGTATCTCAACTCACGAGACCTGCAGATAAACAGCATTTCATTGACAATCGTGTGAATTACGCTTCAGAACAGCTGCTAAAGACGCATTATTTACAAAAGAACTCTTCAAAAAGGTAGAATCATGTTAAGTAATATTACTAAGTCCAAATATTATTTAAAAAAAAAAATACTAATATGGGATAAAGAATATGAATTTAAATAAAAAGCAAGGGATTAAAATGAGAGCAGCAGAGAATATGATAAGCAATAAGCAGATGAAATGTAGTACAAGTACAAAGGACATTTGATGACTATCATGTTGAGTCAGATCCTGCCGTTTCTCGGCCCCGCCCCTCCTGCAATCCCATTGGCCAACACACATCAGGTCAAAGGTGGTGCTCCCATTGAGGGGGAAGCATGTCAGCTCTGTCCTCAAAATCTGGCCTATTTCAACATGCTCAGGTTGTAACCTTCGACAGGACTTCTTTTACATAAACGGTTTACATAGTGATGCAATAATTGAAAAATAACATGACGGAATACTGGGACTCGATGACAAACTGTGAGACAGAGAGTGTGCAAACTGCAAAGGTCCCTTTGACCAGCCCTAAGGGAGCAGACCGTTCCCCCTCAGAGGAAGCTCTCCTTCAGAAGAATCTCAGTTTGTGGTGGTGTGTGTGTGTGTGTGTTAAACCAGAGAGCAGTATCCCCCGCAGGCACCCTGACGCTGCTGCTCGTGATCGGACAGCACGACCCCGTGGTTCTGGAGGCTGCTCTCCCAGAGTCCCGGCGTCTGCAGGATCTTCTCCACCAGCTCTTCAAACGCACACTGGACTCCGTCCCGCGTCTTTGCGCTAGCCTCTGATGATGTTGCGGTGGATGGGAGAGATTGAGAGAAGTGGTGAGGTGGACTCATCAGAGTAAGAATTATGAGATGCAGTCACAGTTTAACAGTGTAAAAGGTGAAATGATGACATCAGAAGTCACTGGCTGATACAGAAAAATCCATTACACTCAAAAATCTGACATATGCTATTCAGAATGAAATACTAGTATACTGTGCTGTATATACTCTATACGGCCTACAATAAAAAATAATAAAAAAATTATGTGAAATAGTATTTTTGTCCTCTGCAACCTCAGCAAGTCCTGCAAGTGGCATCCGTTTATCTCAGAAAAGAGAATTTGCAATAAGTTTCTGTGAAGAATGTGTGAGGTTTTGGCATTCAAAATGAAAACCTGGCTGCGTCCGATATCGTATACTCTTGAGTAGGCACTTATTTTAAACAAGAACTTACTTCACGTTCGCTTAACTATGTTCTATATAGTGTAAAATGTATGGATGCTTGTTTCAGCCACTGGATAAAACATAAAAAAAGCTAATTGCAACTTTTTTATCTCACAACTGATTTCATTTCCTCGCACTTGCGAGTTTACTTCAGAATTGTGTGATTAAAAACTCACAATTGTGTGTTATAAAGTCAGAATTGTGTGATATAAAGTCACAATTCCGAGTTATAAAGTCAGAATTGAGAGATATACACTTGCAATTCTGAGAAAAAAAGTATTTTTTCCTCAGAATTGACCTTTTAACTCGCAATTATGAGTTTATATCTCACAATTCTAAGAAAAGAAGTCAGAATTATGAGATATAAACTTGTAATTGCGAATTCTAAAGTTCTGAGGAAAAAGACTGACTATTTCTCGCAGTTGTGAGAAAAAAGTCAGAATTGCGAGATAAAAAGTCACAATTATTTTATTTTGGGGGCGGAAACAAGCTTCCATAGAAAATGTATGAATTTACATTACTGGACGTACTACATCCGCCATGTTGTCATTATCACACAACCTACCATCGTCGGTTGTGTCGCATTACAGCCATTCACAAATCCTCTCCTGTGGCCTCATGGGATCGTAAAGTGTCCATCATATGCACACTTCAGAATCTCAACGGAAGTAGTAGGTCATCCAGGGACTTTTTGGCAACTCTTTTATGAGCACTGTGACTTCAGACGTACTTCTTTTGTCAGATACTTTTTCACCTACTATATAGTAGTAGGGAAGTATCGATTTCGGATGCAGCCAATGAATCTATATGCATATAAACAGCTGATCTGACTTCCGGTTAATTCACA